CAGCAGGAAGCTTCACACCCGTCTGGCTCCTGCTCTCCTGGGGATTAAGGCTTTCAGACTGGGTGATTGACATACTGAGTAGCTCTCATTTGGGTTTTGCATGATGGTCACCCTTCCTCACTCCAATTTTAATAAAATGTCCAGACTTTTGGGGTTTTTTTTAACTGGGAAGATCTAGTATGTCTGCCTGCACATGCACATGGAAATATATGGGTATTTTAAAACTTCGAAATAATCACGGATGTAGGTGACATATTTTTGTTGACTTGTTTTTTGTCTCCTCTATTTTTTTAAAATATCCATTTAATCTTGTCATAATCTTTTGAATTTTCTACCTGAAGTCTCATTAATAATTGAAGCAGCATTGCTCTTTCATTGTAACCACACTGCTGTTTTTCATTTGTCAGCATGATTCATTAAATTGAGCCAAATTCACTCTTGATGTAACTTGACCTTAGATGTGTTTTGGCCCCATGTGTTTTCTCTTGCTGGAGTTACTCTTTAAATCAGTGGAACAGAAAAAGAAAATTGTATTGAACTGTCACCCTTAATCAAATTCTCAGCTTTAAATTAGCTATGATCTGGTCCATGGGTTGTATCTTTTAACTAAGGAAATAGTTTAATATACTAATGTATATAGTTGAATTTCTTTATAGGGTTTTCTGTCCCTAGGCTTGCAGCACAACTGTTAGAAATCATGTGGAATTAAAAGATCTAAAATCTGGGGTTAACCAAAAATATTGTTAAGTAAATGTTTTTTTTCCTAAATTACCAAATGTGGATGTTTAGCTTGATCCAGATCCCATCTGAATCCTATGGGGTTCATTCCATTGACAACACAGACTTTTTTCCATTTACACACTAACAAAGAAACAGTTCTGAATGTTTTCCAGGCAATTATTTACCTTGTGTCACACACATAAAAGTTTAAAATACGAAAACCACAGCAGAATATGTTAGTTTCATGTATGTGAAAATATGAACTGGTTTTGTATTAACATTCTTTTTCATATATATATTTGTGTGCATTTATATATATATATATGAAAAAGCTTATATAGAATATTTTGGGAACTCAGCAGTTATATTTCTTAAGCAAGTTATTTTGTCCTTTTTCATCTGGTCAGTATAGACATTCTTGTATATTTTATTAATACATTATATTGCATATAAGTAGAAACACCTATATAATGGTATTAGTACGACCACATAAAGATTAAGGACCTTAGTAAGGTTAATATAGCCATGTTTACAGCCAAAGCATTGTAATACTTGGATCACAATGTACAGGGATGGATTAAGATAGGCCTTTAAAACAGAGTGGGAAACGCTGCAGTGAGGTGAAGGTGTTCATCTGCTGGACTGTGTCTGAGAGCGGGAGATCCTGCTGCTGGGCTGGTCCCAGCTCTGGTGCAGGCAGGGCAGCTTCCCGTGGCTCAGTGCCTGGGAAACACGGCTGCCTTCTCACACCATGAAGGACTAGTGGGCAAGTTACAAGTGAGGGAATCTTGAAAACACTTCTCAATTTATTACCTGGATTAGATTAGGAACGCTCCTGGACTACAACAGAAAAAAACCCCAGGCTGGCGCAGATGTCGTCTTATTCTGGGAAAATGTGGACAAAGTTGTCTGTTAATTTTCATTTTGTGTCCTTTTATTGATAAATGCTGTGATAATTGTGTTTGCTGGGTGAAGTTGCCACAAAAGAGCTTAAAAAAGAAATACAAGCCTAAGGAGACCTCATTACAGTATAACAGCAAAACTAAATAATGCAAGGGACATGACCTTGATAAAAAGAACTTTAATACGAAACATGTTGTAATAATATTAAGATTGAAGGTTTCAACCCATTAGAAATATAGTCATTGCACCAGGAAGGCCCTAACACTTTTACTTCAGTCCACTTGTACTCAGGCATTACACTTCTTCAACAAATGGGTTGATGTAATTGCACCTACTGAAAAAATATGCAGTTGTATTGATTTTGAAGATAATACAAAGAGGTGCCTGTCAGATGCTCTAATGTCTCCTTATACACATTACATGTAACAAAGATTAAATTAGGTAGCAGCTTCTGCTCATCAAACGAAATAACTGAACCTTTTCCCAAATGAGGTCTCTAATTCCTGATAGACATTGTCCAGACTAGTAAATGGTGCATACATGAAGAGACGGCTATCTTAGCACTTGCAGTGCTGTGATTTGTTGGTAAATGCTTTGTAATGGTTTGACTTCCTATAAGGAGATGTGTCTATGTGTAAAAATGAAGACAGAAAAAGAGGAAAAGAAAGGTATAGCGTTCAGAACTTCATTTTTTTTTCCATGTTATTGTAACTTTTACTAGTGGAGAGGTACTTCAAATGGGTTTTTATATTGTCATCCTGAATATGTTTGGGAGGGAATGAATAAATCAAGCTTTTCAGAACTAATTGGCTTTTGTGTGAGTTATGGTGGCTCTTTTGATAATTCCTTTTGGTACAGTTGGGAGGGGCAGCTGGGAGTTGCCGAGGCAAGCCTATGTCAGCCTTTCAAATGTATGGGATATCACTCCTAGCTGTGTACTCTCACAAGGTAAGAGTTGAGACAGGCTTGCTGCTTGCAGCTGGGACAGCATTAAAGTACAGGTCTCTAAGACTGAATTTTGGGACCATGTGTGAACACCCTATGTTTTAATGTGAATAGAAAAAACAAGTTGAAGAGATGCCATATAAATATAGTTTTGAATATGTTTTATGTAAAGAAATAGCCAGAGCCTGGGGGACCTTAATGAACTGTATTTCTTTAGTACATGAAGCACCTCGCAAGGAAAAAACCAGCATCCTTGGTTTAAATATGCATTATTGTTGTGTATTGTGTTACTGCATAAATATTTGTGAAAATATAGGTCTACTGTATTTTCTGTGAAATGCTGAATATGATGGTTAGATTTGCTTTATTTAATTAGCCTTAATTTTGTGTTCTCATACTTGGTGCTGTCATTAATACTTCTCCAGATTTTATGAAAACCCATCTAGGTGCCTTCAATTAGTGGGAAAACTACATGAGTAGTAGGTACATTGCAGAAATACAAACATTAATTTTCATTCTTATAGAGTGATTTGACTCAAAGTTATTTTTCCCTGAAAGGTAATTAAAGAAAGTGGACCTCCTCACATGAAGAGCTTTGTTACACGAGTTACAGTAGGAGAATTCACTGCAGAAGGAGAAGGCAACAGTAAGAAACTCTCAAAGAAACGTGCTGCAATGGCTGTCCTACAAGAACTTAAGAAACTTCCTCCTCTTCCTGTCATTGAAAAGCCAAAACTTTACTTTAAAAAACGTCCAAAAACAATATTGAAGGTATGTGTCTGCCTTTGACAGAATTAAGCAAGTTTGCTCAGAAAGTTACTCAGATTTTAAACCAGTAAGGGCTTATTTGTAATTTTCTGTTGTTACTGTTAGTTGTTTGATTGGGCTAGTATGCCTGTACTTTTTTAAATTCTGAGAATGCTGTGAAACTCTGAAAAATAATGGCTTCTAAGGTGCTCAGCTTAAGAACTGAGCTCGCATCACTGAAGTCTTCAGGGGTTCGGTTCAAGTCTAGTGGAGGATAAAACCCTCCAAGCAGCTCTATATAGCCATCTGAATTTTTAGCATCGTCTTCTCTGGTAGGTCCTGCAAGTATTTGTGGTGGTTCTCTCCCTGGTATTTCCCCCCTCCCCAGTTCGAAAAGGGAGAGAGATATATGAAATAGTAGATATATGGGGAAATGGTGCACAGGCTAGCTTCTTCCCCTCATGGAACTAGGTTTGGCAGTTTTCTGGCTTCAGCCTCAATGTGTTTTGGTTTTTGAAAGAAGTCCAAGGGTGTGTTGCTATCTATGCCTAGTGTGTCACTTGTCAAGCGACAAAGGACAATACGTGTTTTGTTTCATGTGCCTGTGTTTGATAATGCTCTTTAGCTCTCACATACAGATAGAAAATTGACTGGAGACCAGCCCATAGAGGAGTTGTGGACTTTGAACCATCCCTACATTAAAACGTGCCCTATCTCAGGGGATATTAATATGCTTCTTGCTTCCCTCTGCACTGATGGTGTCAGAGTTGCTTTTGCCCCATGTTAAGGAGATCAGGAACTTTGAAACTAGAATTGCAGGAAAAAACAGGAAACCTTCAGATTCAAAACCTGTGCTTCAGAATATAGTTTTAGGACCTAAATTTATTCTCTTTTCCTGTATTTCTCTCTTGTTAGTTTAAAAAAAATGATAGAGTTTTTCTGAATTATGTTATACCAATGGTTTGCATTATGTTATGCTGGGCAACCTTATACCAGTATGGCTTGAACTCAGTGCTCATCAAGTGTTACATTGATAGGTTGTAAAACTAAGTAAATCAGTACTTACTTTACTAAAAGTATGACCATTAGAAATCTGTGTTCTCAGTGCCCTGAGTGCAGAGTTCTGTAGGAGCGGCCAACAGAAATGCCATCTAAAATAAGCAAATACTTTGGAGAGTGCAAAACTGAGTTTAGAAAATGTACAAAGGACTGACTTAATAATCTTCCTCTTTTCATTTGCTTTCAAAACAGAATGAGTGATTTTTCAAAAAAACCCCAAGGTTAATTAGATACCTAGCTCCTATTGAAATTCTGAGGACTTAATTCTCAAAAACTTCTAGGAAAAAATGAGAATAAAAAATTATTTAATGGAAAACCATCAGCATTAATGCAGCTTTAGAGCTGCAAGATCTGACAGGGCTCTTGGCTCTGGCTGTCTCGATTTGGAATTTTTTTCTCAAGAAACATTAAGGGTATAGTAATGTAAAAATCTCTTATATTACCATACACCATTTACCATTACAGTCTTAAATTGAATTATCCAAAGTTGGTCACATTAGAAAGAAGTGTTAATAATCAAAATAACCTGGATATGTACATGGTTTTTATTTGAATATCCAAACTTCTGAAATGCTTTCAGTGTGCCCATTTCTTTTAATTTGTCCTGTGCATGTTTGGAGCATTAGAAAAATGACAATTACTTCTTTTTATTTTTATCTTTATTTATGAGGCTATATCTTACGGTCTGCTCTTTATTTAGCCTGCTCTGCATTTTGTCTTTGCCTGGCGTCTTGCCCACACAGCTGCCCTTGTGCATGACATTGTCTTAATTCTTTCACCTACATCTTCTCTAACAACTTCAGCAGTTACACTGTGTAGGACTTGCTGCACAGCTTTCCTAATTTAATATCCCTCTCTCCTCTTTGCCTTCAGTTGCCAATCATCTCTTTAGGTTCTGGACCACTTCTTTGTTCTTATTTGAGAAGCTTAAAAAAGCATGACTGCTGATCTTCTCATATTCTGCAAATGGCTTTATGAAAGGGAAACAGCTCGATAACATAAAAAGAGTTCTACATTCAAATTCCGTTTTCATTTGCAAGTTCATTCTTTGTGTTATGGTATATAAATCAGTTAAATATGATTTCAGATAACTATTTTGGGGTCTTTATTTGTTCTCCTTAAGATCTACAAACAAATATTTTCATAGCTATTTGCTTTGAGAGTGTATTTGCCATGTGAGTAATAACATATTTAAAGGATTTCAGAACTGGGTAGGACTGTAGTTTTTCACCTGACTGTGTAATTGTGGACAGACCAATCTCTCAGTCCTTTTGTTTCCCCCACCATCAGATCAGCCATACCCCATATTTTGGCATGTTACTGTGAGGTTTGTTGTCTGTTAAGCATTTGAAGTACTTTGTGGGTGGCTCACAATTTGCAACAGTTCTAGCCACTGGAGATACTCCTCCCTTGCTTCACTATATGGAAGTATATTTAGGGTGAATTCCTAAGACATGTAGAGTAAACCTTCAACATCTTTAGTTGCAATGTAGGATGGAAGGCAGGAGCACTGAGAAGGAAGGCTGAGAGAGGCAGCTTCCTTGTTATATGGCAAATCTTTTTTGTCCCTATGTAAATCCCACAGCTTAGTGTACTGCATGTTCCAGCATTGTAGTAATCTATTTTAAATGGTATGGGGGAAGGGTCATGGAAATAGGACAGTGAGATATAATTAACTGGTGAATCTGCTAATTTTCATCCATCTTCATAGGACCTCTGTAGGTAGATGAGGGTATTGGTAGTTTACAGCTGCTAGGTATGCACGCTACTTGCAACAGTGGCAGACAGCAGGTGGGTATTTTTTGCCACAGTTTTGAGCTTGAGGATTCTTATCTTCTCTCTCATGATTGGAAGATGGGAAGAAATTTACTTCTTATTCTCTCAAAGGGGTATTAAAGAAAAGGTAGCCGTAGTAAATGACTTATTGAAGCAGCATAATAGTTGTATGTATATATGCTGAAATAATGGTTCTTTCTTTTAAACCTGTTTTAGACTGGACCAGAATATGGTCAAGGAATGAACCCCATCAGTCGTCTGGCTCAGATCCAACAGGCCAAAAAGGAGAAGGAGCCAGAGTATGTTCTTCTTTCAGAGAGAGGAATGCCTCGCCGTCGAGAGTTTGTTATGCAGGTATCATCTGCTGTCGCATTAGAGATAGCGTCCTTGCGAGATTATGTTCAAACTCAAACAAAATGGTGACATAATATGAAGCGGATCCCTCTGTGTTTAGCTCTTTGCTTTATGGTCAATTATACAAGAGGAGTATGAAATAGAGTATCAGAAGGACTAAACTTTCTTCTTTCTCATGGTGAAACAGGTGGCAATTAGGCTACGTGCCTTCTAGATGATTTTCTTGTAGTGGTTTTGCATTTTTGTACTCTTCTTATTTTTACTTCACCTGATGGCTTCTGTCTTTATTTGTGATGGTTCATTATTTATTTACTTTTACCTGTCTTTTTTATTTTTTTTTCCATTGTTGATCAGAGGTTTGAAATACAAATAAGTATTCTGAAATATGGGTATGAATATCTTCATATTACCAAGCATTTTGGTTAAAAATATTTGTGTGTCATAAATCTTCCCAGATTTTCAGTTTTTTGTGTTCATGTCTGAAATACCACAAAAAAACCTTGCCGTCACGTGTTTTAGCATGTCCAGTTAGAGGCTCTAAACTTAGTACCAAAACAGTAGATAATGAATGTTTCTTTAATTTTTAGATTAAGAACATTCACAAAGATTTGATATAAGCATGATATTTTGTTAGGTAACACAACAGCAGGTTAAGAAAGATTAGGAACAGGAAAGAATTCTTTTCTTTTGTGTTTTCACTCAGGGGTAATTTTGTGCTGGAACAGTTCAGAACAGCACAACTGAACATGTTTTGACTTGTCTACAAACCACACCAAAATGTCACTTCTGATCACAAGCAGAATGTTTGATGTTCAGCACCTCCTTCTCAAAAAATTGTATGTTTTCACTTAAATCTTTAAATTCCTCTTTCCTGTCAATCAAGATAGGGTAGCAGTCTTCATTTCCTTGGGCCTTAGTGGTCTTTACTGATGTTTTATTATTTTTCTCTCTGAAGCAAAAGATGATGTTGGTTTCTTTTTGTTGCAGAATCTGATTTATGAGTATAAACTTGGATTTCCAACTTTTTATGCTATATGGAATTATTTGAAAAAGAGTGATCCTATCACAGACCATCCCTTTTCTTTTGCTCAGACCCCTATGAGAGTGTCCACAGTTAGAGATGGTCGTGTGAGGCGTTAGAAGAGGACTCTGTAATGCAGTCCAGTATTAGAAAGATGGGCTAAGGATTCAGTTTTCTATTGGAGGAGTCTCAATAATGGCACAATCTTTGGTTTTAATTAAAAAAAATAATAATCTTAAAAGCAGTGACTATCTAGAAGATTCCCTTGTCTGGGAAGACATGTGTAAGAAAGAGTCAAAGAATTTCCATAGACCAGTTGCTTTATTATGTATACTTTTAAACACCGTAGCCCCATTTTTAGCCTTCTGTGATGTTTTCACACTAAAATCATACTGCTGTTTCTCCCTCCTTCAGGAAGTCTCAGTGGATTCCTTATGACATGTAAAAAACCTTATCAGAATAAAAAGCCTTTATATAAACTACTTGAACAATGTTTTCATTTAATTTAATTGAATGTGGAAGTAAAATATCCAGAGATAATATGTTCATTTTTATCTGTCACACAAAGAGCAAGTTTAGATGTGATGAAATGGATTCAATTACTTGTTCTGACCACTAGATAAACAGAAGAAAACCTCTGATGACATTATTTGGTGTTCTGTTCTCAAAGTTAATTTCAGAAAGCTCTTTCTCTTTGTAGTCAGACCTTTAATCCTTGATAGAGGTTATAATAATAGCTAAACCAGTTTTACAGGTCTGAGAAATAGCAGCACATTGATTTATTGTAAGCTATGTTATAAATTATCATTTTGTCTTGTCCCATTAAAGTCCCTCAATTTTATTGCATATAAACTTGCAGCAGATTGGCTATTTTCTAATTGTGCTTGCAGAACTGCATAGAAGATAAGGTTTTTATTTCAAGATTATTAATATTTCTGTTTTAGGTAGTCCAATATTTTTGTTTAATTATATATGTACTTAGAAGGGATATTCATGATCATTATCATTTATTTAAAACCTCTTCTTTGTATGTAGAATTAATTGGTATTTGAGTAAAAAAAATAAAACTTTTAGGAAAATCTATACATGATAATTTGAGGAAGCTGAATAATTACTGAATAGCATAAATTACTAAATAACATTTAGTATTTATTTAACAATTTTATGCCTGTTTTTACATTTGTTTTTAAAGTTTCTTTCAGACTGTTTCAGGTCTTTGACCTCCAAGATTTCTTTTGTTCCGATCACCTTGACTATTTTATTTTGGTTTCCTTTTTTTAACACACTTTTGAAACCGTATGCTATTTTAAGAGAAAATTTGGCAAATAAAATGGCCTAATGGACAGAATGAAATATAGCTATCAAAGAGCTATGAATATTGCATAAGTGAATAGCAATGACAATGCTAATATCACAAACCAGACTCATACGGCTTCACGACTTGAAGAATGGGTACCAAACCCAAGGAACAAGTAGCAACACTCCTATGGGGACGAGAATGTCCAGATCCTGTAGCGCTTCCTGCATTAGGAAAGAGGGGGAGCAAGAGTAGGGGAGTTGTTTAGCAGGGAAAATGGAGTTGACACAGAGGCTGATGGAAGAGAGAGACAACTGTGTGTGCACTGAGATAAAGAAAAGTGTAGCTCTTTGGTATGAGTCTGGGGACCTGAAAAATCTAAACAAGCTCCTCTGTGTGAAGCAGTATTGTAGACCCCTTCTGATCTACTCTTACTTTTCTGAGATTGCATCTTCATCAGAAGAGTGGACGGTTGTTGGTAGGTCAGCAAGATTATCAACATGTTGATATTAAGGACTCTTGCATTTATCGTGATTGTGATCAATGTTTTCTTTTCAAGGTAAAAGTAGGCAATGAGATTACTACTGGAACAGGCCCAAACAAGAAAATAGCTAAAAGAAATGCAGCAGAAGCAATGTTGCTACAGTTGGGTTACAAAGCCTCTACTCCTCTTCAAGACCAGCCAGAAAAGGTGAGAACTAATTTTTATGAAGCCCACATTTTACCCTTACCTAGAATTCTTAGCTCTGTCAGCTAATTGCTTAGTAAGAACAGAAGTTTAAACTTGGGCACCCCCTGTTTTAGGAGGTTGCTTCTCAGAAATCAGCCTTTGTTTAGCTACAGCTCTATAGCTACAGTTAGTAGTAAGTGCAGCCTCTCCTCCTGTTTTTGAGGAATTAAGTATAGAAATGTAGTTCCAGAAGATAGTCCGCATGCAACAGGGTACATGTGATGTGTGCACCTATTTCTACTTACACATCAGGATGAATGTGGCTCTTGCTTTTATCCCTTTTTGGACATCCTTGACAGGACTGAGAGAAATGATGTTACTAATTTTCATACATGAAGTATTCACAGTAGTCAGTGTTTGTCTTGCCTTTGCATAAGCATTTAAAGCATTCTAGAAAAATAATGGCCATTTCAAGTTTGATGACTGAGAAAGAAAATGTGTATTTTTTTTAATGGAGAAGGAATTGTATTTTAAATTTGTATGTGTTGCAGGTATGTATTTCCATGTTAGTCATGAGCAACTTAGCACTCCTCTCCTGTCTTGGGTGTATTGATGGAAGGTTTTGTAACCAAAATTGGGTGTTAAGGTTTTGTCTTCTGTATCCTGAAAAGATATTTGTTAAAACATTTGGCTAAGCTGTGGACTCTGAACAGCTTCTGTCATGTGCAAAGTCACTGCCTGTATATATTTTGATCATGGCTTAAATGTTTGCTGTGGCTGCACCAGCTAGCTCAAGCCAGCAGAATATTCTGCTGGACTTTTCTGAGGACCACATGATAAATCTGAATATAGTATATAACTATATATTTATTCTGAAACACCCTTTTTTTCTCTTAAAAAAACCAAACAAAACATATATACATATGCATATGCATATGCATATACATATACATATACATATACATATACATCCAAAGATATTCTGTTTTATACTCCTAGCCAGGAATAGATAAATGCCATACTGGTTTCTTGCTTCATCTCTTTCTTTTTCCCTCTCCTTTGAGAGGAGCAGCTCCATGTATGCTGTTCACGCTCACCTTCACTATAATTTTCACTGTATATCTTAGTCATATACAAGTGTGCAGTACTCTGAACAGAGTAGTTGGAGGCTAGATGGTGTTCCTAGTGAGAACACACTGTGCAGTCATAGCCATTTAAAAAAAGGGTTATGACAGAGTCGAATGGTAATTAATTTTCACCAGAATGCTAAGACTTTTCTGCTGTAGAAGATACTTTCTACCAGTTTGAACTTTTTCTTCACTGCCAATTTGGCTGAAGGGCTTTTTGAAAAACAAAGCAAAACAGAAAAGTCAACTTTTTTTTTCTAATAGGAAAACATAGGTTTTCATTGTTGGATTTCAAATTGGCTGAACTACTTTCACTCAGTAATTTTCAGAGATAAAGCCTGAAAAAATTCAGCCCACAACATAGTTGCGTTGGAGAGCTCTACACAGTGGAAACTTGTGGTTACATTGAAATCCTTAAAAAAAAAATCAGCTAAAAAGGAGTGCTGCTGTTTCATTTCGCTACATTTGTTGCTTACAAGTGCATTGTCTTTAAAAAAATCAGTTTAGTTACATACTTGCAGATGTGGGGATCTTGGAATTAATAGAATAGCATACAATGGCCTAATATTATCATGAACACAAAGAGCAAACTTGATACTGTATCCAAACAATGTGAACTACTCAAATTTTATGTAGTGGGAGTATTCGAGATCATAGAACAAATTTTTATAGCTTTGTTGGGGTTAAGGACATAAAATATCTAGAACATCTGGTTTTATCTTCTGTATATCACAGACTGAACATATTTAAAGCAGATACACAAGTTAGTTTGTGAAGATGAAAGCATTTTAATTCTCAAACTAAACTGTGCTGGAGAAGAAGGAAAATAGCCTTTAGATCTCTACCAATCTAAGCATTGCAAAATTCCTTCCATATAAATTGCACAATAAATATGTACCATTAGAAGATATTTGTTCCTTTCTTTGAATCCGAAATGGGGCCCAATGTAGATTAGCTGATGTATCGAGTTGGCATCTAAATGGACAATTTTCGCTTGTGTTTTTGATGCTTTTAAAGAAGAAAACTTCTCTTTCCCCTGCTCCCTACTTCCCTGAGTCCTTGATCTCCTTCCCCCTCCCTTAAAAAAAAAGCAAAACCAAATTCAGCATTTTTTCCCTAACCCCACTGCATAAAATGTCACTGTATTCATTGTTTTAATGAAGACCTAAGAGCATTACAAGAGCCATACACGCTGCTGATGGCAGCACAGGTAAACAGGTAATTGAGGTAATGTAAAAAAGTAAAGGCTCTGCTCTTTTCTGAGGTAATCTGATTTTTGGAAGAAATCAGTAATGGTTGTACAGAGCCCTGAGGTGGGCAATTTGAAAGTGCCCTGGGAGACTTTTTGCAGCTCTCAGAATTTTAACTCTATGGGTCAGAATGGAAAGTTGTAACGTCTTCATTTTGTCACCTTTCCGTCTTTTTGTTTCTTCTTGCCACTTTTATTCTCTTAGAGAGAAGAAAACCAGAGTAGATTGCATTCATGTGAGACAGCAGCTCTAAGGATAACTTACTGATAAATGAATTATTGTTAAGTTCTCCATCATGATCAAGTTAATAAACAGTAAAAAGAGAGGAGTGAGGAGAGTTAGGAATGTTCTTCTCATATTGTAGCACTGTGCTCGTGCTGATTTTCAGATCATATTATGGATGCACAGTATGGATTCTTAACAAAACCAGGCTGTTGTAACAGAAAACAGTAAATAGAAGTGTATTTATAGATTTCATATTACTTATTCATTTAAGGAACTGTCATCTTCCAAGTTTTCCAATATACATATTATCTGCTTCATAATATGAATAAAAAGAGTTATGTGAAATTAACGTGCATGGAGGTAGATGACCAGTTTGAGAACCAGCTCTAATACCTATCCTCCCTTTCCACTAAGTATCTCCCATTCTTACTGCATGTTTCCTAGACTATAAGCATATTGAGATATACATGATGGGGAAAGGCAGGAAAACAATCACTGGAATAGCTGCTTTGCATAGTGTGCTCTTCCCTCCTCTTTCCCAAGGAAAACATATCATCTAGTAGTCTGCAGTGCAACATGATAGTAATCTAGACAGCCTTAACACAACCTCTGAGATGCGGAGGCAGATTTCAGCTGACTGATTCTCCTTCCCATCAACTCTGTTTTGCAGAGCAAATGATTACAGCTTTGTTGTGGCATATAGACTGCTTTGCTGCCAGGTTTTCTGTTTGCATACAAAATCCCAGTGAAATCTGAAAAGGATCATTTGTTTCACATTCTTTAAGCTGCTTATTGATAGCTTCATGAGGAGGCTTGAACATGTTTATCCACATCTATGTGTGTCTACAGCCATCTTTTATACTATGTAGACTTCAGGAATGGCCTTATTTTGATCTTCTGTGTTAATTGCTCCCCTTTTCAGTGTTTGAGTAATACCCAGTGTTAAACATATTAAAATTAATTTAAAGACAATTAACTTCCTCCAATATTAAAATAATGGAAAACTGCAATCTTTTTTTTTTTGCTTCCACTTCAGTAACTAAATGGATTCCTAGCAAATAAATATTTTAAAATTACACCCAAAGTGCTTTATAGTGTTTATGCATTCCTTCATAAGAAGATATTAGGACCTTCTTGTTTTAGAATGTAATTTTTCCGTTGTCTGTGTGTGTTTTCAGTTGAGAGCTGCTTAAAACATTTGATTTTAAGTCTGATTTGTTAACATATTCAGTTGAGCCTAATCCTTGGGGAAACATTTATATTTCAGTGTTAGGCAATAGTTGTTAATGTTTATTCATGAAGGGTACATTCCTCAAATAACCTATTTTAGACAAAAATAAAGATGTGCTAGAAAAGTTTTGTGAGCAGATGTGGCAATCTCAAATCACCCTCTTTAGAATCTTTCAACTAAATTTATAAACTTTAATATTCTGTTTAAGGAGGAGTTTGCTTTTTACTGATTTGTCTTTTTCTACCTGTTTCAGCTTGGAGAAAACAAGAGTTGGAATGGCCAGAATGTTGGGTTTCCTGAGCCAACAAGTAACAGTAAGTATTACTTTCTGAATTGATACTTATACTTACTTCCTTTTGCTTGTGTAGGATTTGGATTATTCAAGACAATTTAAATGATATTTTGTAAATATTTTAGGGTTTTTATTGCAATTAGATGAATTAACTCTGGAGTGTCCTCTGTGTGAATAGAGGTGTGAATAAGTGCAGAACAAGGAGATTTTTATTTACTCATTGAATCCTTCAGGTTGTAAGGAATTGTAGGAAGTTACCTCTAAATGGCCTGCTCAAAGCAGGGTCAGTACAGAGTTCAGGCAAGGTTACTTATGCCTTTTTTCCAGTTCTCCAAGGACAGAGATTCCAGAGCTTCTCAAGGCAGCCTGTTCCAATGCTTTATTATCTTCATGTTGGACTTTTTTCATTTTATCCCAGTCAGAACATCTCCTGTTTGTTTATCACTGTCATTTCATGTTCTTCTGCTACATACCTCAGTAATGTGCCTGGCTTCATCTTGTTGGCAACCTTGTCTTAGGTATTGGAAGGCTGCTATTAGGTCCCCCAAAACTTACCACTGTCCTCTAAGCCTGATCATTCAAACAGATTTCCATTATCTCGTATTTAATCTACATAGACTCTAATATCACAGCTTGGATACAAGGATGCTGTGGAAAACAAGATGTCAAAAGCCTTGCTAAATCCAAAGTAAATGATGCCTACTGCTCTTCCTTCTCTCATAAATCCAGTCATTTTATCATAAACGGCAATCAGGTTGTTGAGGCTGACTTTTATCCTTGGTAAATTCATGCTGATTGTTGCCAATACCTTTTTTTCTCCTTTGTGTGTCCACAAATGGCTTTAAGAATGCTTATGGCATGATTTTCCCAGGTATTATAGTGAGGCCGAGCAACCTGCCTTTTTTGTTGATGTTAATGAGGCCTTTCTCCAGGCATTGGGGACCTCTCCTGATCTCTGTGGCTTTTTGAAGATAATAGGAGTGGCTTCACAATGACATAAGCCAGTTGACTCAGCATGCTAAGATATATCCCATTTGGTACAATGGACTTGTAAGGGCTGAACATTTCTCAAGAGATCCCTGACTCTGATCAGGTTCTGCTACTGGTAGTTTCTCTCTTTCTTTTTAGCTTGGAGAAGAGGAGACTGAGGGGTGACCTCATTCATGTTTATAAATTTGTAAAGGGTGAGTGTCAGGTGGAAGGAGCCAGGCTCTTCTCAGTGATAGCCAATGACAGGACAAGGGGAAATGGGTGCAAGCTGGAGCATAGGAGGTTCAACCTCAATATGAGGTAAAACTTTTTTACTGTGAGGGTTACAGAGCACTGGAACAGGCTGCCCACAGAGGTTGTGGAGTCTCCTTCTCTGGAGATATTCAAAACCCTCCTGGATGCGTTCCTGTGTGACCTGGTCTAGGTGATCCTGCTCTGGCAGGGGAGTTGGACTGGATGATCTTTTGAGGTCCTTTCCAACTCCTAATATTCTGTGATTCTGTGATAGAGCTGGGTCTATAGGCATAAAGGCCTGAGAGACCATGTTGGTGAAGACCAACTTCACTTTCTCTGCAATAGGCAATGAATAAGTCAGACCTCTGTGACTTTTTAAATAGATTTTTGCTGTTCAGGCTGATAAGGACAATACAAATAGTACTTCCTTCACTTTTGCGTGAGCCATAGATTCTTCTCTAGAACTGTGTTGAGTTCTGAACTTCTTAAGGGTCCCAAACATGATCTCCCTCAACTAAGGATTGTACTAGAGACAGACACACACATGTGCTACCTTCTAATTTTTGCCTATACACATCTAAAGGACATGGGTCTAAAAGCAGATTTTAAGGGGGTTCCGTACTGTTCCAACATATATGTGGTCTTATAAAGGTCCTTGTAAAGGGCCTTTATCTTCTAGGGTATTTTCTTTAAAATTTATGACTTGACTGTGAATTCCATATAAAGGCATTAGAGGAGAGTGACTATGTTACAGTTATGTAGAAGACAGACCAGTCTTTCTTCACCTTACAGTCTCATCCAGGATTCATGGAAAACCTAGAAATGCATTTTTTCTTCTCTAAATGTGTTAATGTGATATCACTCCTGGCTGAACGAATTGCTAATAGGTCTTGCTTTGAGTTTCTAATTGAAACCTCTCTTGGTATTGCTAAACTGAAATGGTATTTCTGATAGAATTATGAATCTGCTGTATCAATTGGCACTCTATTAAAGTATATTTTTATATAAAAAACCCACCATAGTAGTTTCTATACTGTAGATCTTTCCTTGGAGAAGATCTACACAGTATCACTTGATATTTCTCACCAGTTTTCCATAGACAAGATTGCTTGTTGAAATGCTGTGCTAATATTTAGCAGGGAGATGGTCTGCCAGTCCATGTTTACCTATGAGCACTTTGTCTGCTGCTCTTCTGGTAGAATATTATGTGTTTCCCATACAGGGAATGCATTAAAAACCCTGAAGAGGAACTAGTATTATTATTAATTTTTCCTGCACACACCTGTTAATCTTCTCCTAGGCCTCAGAGACCAAAATAACTTCAGAGCTTTGCAGTCAAGAACTGAGGAAATTTGACATGTCTTCTCCTTTTGAATGAAAGAAGAGACCATTTGCATGAATGATCTCTCATGCACCTCTAAGTGCAGATTTTTTAAAGGCAGTTCCAAACAAATTCCACTGTGTCATATCCTTTCAGGTACAAATGTGCTAGTTTCTATTTAAGAACAATGATTGTAGGTAGGTGTATCTACTCTTGCAGTGTCAGTGTTATGTTAGGAAGTTTTAAGGAGGGGAAATGGAGCAGCTTCCTCTCTTCTGTATCCTTACTTACAAAAGAAATGTACAGTTTGCATTTGTTGTGACCCTAAAACATAAATTTTAGTGGTCTTGAAAATCTGGGCCCTGAGGTTGCTGCGTGTACGATTTGGCAGCTCAGATTTCCAGTAACTTTATTCCAGGAAAACAACTGTGTCCTGTTAGGACAACCTACTGTGCATCAGTTTCCTTTTCCAGGCAGATATTCTTTCTTTTTGTGCATAATGCACTATGTTTTAATCTGAAACTGTGTGAAATAAACCTGGAATAGTAAAGTGAAGTTGTGTACTTTAGTACAACAAAAATAAAAATCAGAACAGTTATATATTTTAGTACAGCTGAAGAACAGATTTCATTATACCCTTATTATGTAGTAAGTTTTTGGCTGGGAAATACCCTTCAGTTTGTACCCTCCTACGTACTAGTTCAATGCCATTTTTAGTGTTCCTTATTAAATATTCTTGAAAATTAACTTCTCCTGTTCCCCTCTGCCATGTACTTTTGCAGTTATCCTTGCAACAAACTTCACTTCTGTTCCTCCTACTCACTGGCAAAGCTTCTTCCCACAGCTTTGCTTCTTTACCTTTCCTCTTCATTTCACAATCCTAAAGACAAAACAAGAAGCTGTTTGTTTGGAATATCTTAAACATTTTTAACACGTGAAAGAACAAGAACATTGAGTTAGTTTTTTCCCTGATGCTTCTGAAGAGGACATTGAGACACTGTGGGCAGACCACAAGCATTTGCAGCTCCTAGAGGAGATGTTTACTGTCAACAGAATGCTCAATTATCTCTCTGGGTTTGACTTAAGCAGTTATCAACGAAAGACAAAACATGAAACAAATAAACAATCCTAATGCAAAGTGCATTTTCATGGGAACACATTTTGGGTTTTATATTTCTGGATGGGGTAATCACAGATATCATACAGTATGTGTTCTAGAAGAAGCTCTAGATGAGCTATGAAGAACAAAAATATGTAAAAATTAAAGAAAAAAGTAACAGTGTTTTTATATATTATAATTCTAAGAAGGTAAAAAATGACCCTAACTGTTTCTGTATGTTCCCCACCCTCAATTTACCATAGTATCATTTCCCTTTATCTGTTTCCAGCAATTTTGGGATTCATAAAGTAAGTATTGAAAAACTAATAATAAAAAATATTACAGTCAGAGCAATCCTACCTCTGTAAAGGACAGACTCTTTGTTTTTCTTCCCTAACGTTTTATTACTAGGGATTCGTGCATGACTTTACAGTCTTTGTTCTTCAGAGTACATCTGCTCCTGCTGTTTGTTCACCACCTGAAATCATAATCATTTGTTTGTGACATCACAATTAGTTACTGTGAAGATGATTAGATTGTCACCAACAGATGATTATGATTTCAGATGGTAAATGAGCAGCAGGAGCACATGATCTCCTAAGGAACAAAGATATTTGATCTCATGCAATTATTCTCAGTAAAAAAAAAAAGTGAGAAAAAAGCAAGTAGGTATTCTGAAGAGTTTCTTAATTCTGTGATGAGAAAATTTAAGCATATTTCTATAAAAATAAGTCATAGAATCACAGAATCACAGGTTGGAAAAGACGTCTAAGATCATCAAGTCCAACTATCAACCACCATCCCCACAAAACTTTGTCCTGAAGATCCATATCTATATGTTTTTTGACAGCACCACTTATTTGATGAAACACAGGCCAAAGAACAGTAGTTTTCCATCTGTTTGGTTTAAGGTGGCTTTTTTTGTTTGTTTTGTGGGGTTTTTTAGTCAACATACTGTCAGGTGAACATTATTCCATCACTGTGTTTCAGGGAGCAGTTCCATCAGCTGAGCCACTTGTCCTCCATCCTCTTTTCTTTACATCAAACATCTTACCTCTATGACTTCTACTCCACCACTGCTTTCTCCTCCTCTGATTTTGTCTTCACTCATACCTGTTCTGTGCTTGTTGATGTCCCCCTTGATTTCCTTAGCTTCAGCAGCCTCTCCATCCTTGTCTACTAGACTTGATCATTCTTTCGTCTGTTCTACGTGTGGGTCATGCCTTTGTTTTCATCATCACAATTCTCATTCCCCTGTTAATCTGTTAATGAATAGTCTTGCCTGCATAGATCACCTGTGATTGCACTTAGGCACTCTCCTAATTACCGTACTCTCTTGAAAATCATTTTCTTGCAGGTTTTACAGGCACCTTGATCT